TAACCTGTTATTTATTATTTTCAATTAATATTAAAAGTATTAGATAGAATAAACGACTGAAAAGATATATTAATCATCAGTAAGTATTCTAACCCATAAGATTCAGAGATCCTAATTATATCCATCCCTAACAATAATCTTAAATAAGCTCATACCTTCAACATACCCCTACAAAATTTGGGGTAGAGATTTATAGAAACTAAATAGATTTTTCTTAATTAGTATAGAAACAATTGTACAAGCTTAAAGTTCACCATAATTGAAAAGGTTAAATTCTCTATCAAGAAAAAAGGCTCTATTTAATTTTCATGCTAGTGATACTATTATTAGTTAAAGTATGTATAAGAAAGACAATTAATTTAACTTACATTATTTCATTAGTTCAAAGGATTATAACAACGTTTATCTATAGAAATTTGCCATCATTTCCCTCAAATTTTGTATTACTTTTAAGTTTACAAAACAAGTAAAAGTGATTCAGATTATAAGTCTGATTTGTATTTCTATTCAAGTAACAAGTAGTATCAGAGAATAGGATTAGTTTGATCAATAAATTTAAAAATCTATATACAAGTTATTAGTACTGAGTAATATTGTATTTATTCTAGTTAAGATTTATAAAAGAAAAATGTTTAATTAATTAAAATTAGTATTTTTATGATTTAACCAATTTCTATTAATCATAAGGAAGAAAAAGTGTGGTATGATAAGGGTAATAAATTGTTATATGTCAAATTTAGGATCTGCATTAGCCTATATAAATCAATTTCAAGAAGCAATTTAATGTTTTAACGAAGCCATTTGTGTTAATCCTCATTATGATTTAGCTTTGATTGGCAAGGGTAATTTATGTTAATTGTAAAATATTAGGCAATGCATTAACTAAATTGGAGCAATATCAAGATGCAATTAATTGTTACACCGAAGCTATTTATATTAATCCTAAATCTGAAACTGCATGGAGTGGCAAAGGTAATTTAATGTTCAATATTAAAAATTAGGATATGCTTTAGGCAGTTTGAATCAATATAATGAAGCAATTGAGTGTTACAAGTAAGCCATTTCCATTAACCCTAAATATGATGATGCATGGAATTGGAATGGTAAAAACTTTGTTTAATTATACTAATTAGGCATTGCATTAGACAAATTGAATTAATATAAAGAAGCAATTGAATGTTACGATGAAGCAATATCTATCAACCCGAAATCTGATTAGTTTTGGAATAATAAAGGTAACTTATTTATAAATATTATTTTATAGGTAATACATTAAGAAAGTTGCAACAAAATAAAGAAGCAATAGAATGTTATAATGAAGCAATATCTATTAACCCGAAATATG